GATGGGGAGGCCTCTGTAGAAGCAGTAGGGTGTGGTGGGAACGATGATGAACATGGACAGACATCCCTAGTCTAAAGGAGAGCCTTGCTCTTGGTCTAGCTCACTGATTTAAACATCCATATTTACAAGTAAAGGTTATGGGGCCTGAATGTCCAGCTGGCCTGAGGCCCACAACTGAGGTTTATTTACAGTATGCCCAGCACACTTACCCCAATACTATGAGGTTACAGTGTGCCTGTCATACTCACTCCAATCCTGTGAAGAAACCATTACCAAATAGTGACTCATCATACAGATAAAGAGACAATAAGCCACCAAGAGCCAAAGTTCCACATTTCAATATACCAGCTTTCCCCTAAAACTGCACTTCCTTCCTTCCTTCCTTCCTTCCTTCCTTCCTTCCTTCCTTCCTTTCTTCCTTCCCAGGCTTGGAAGGGAGACCGTGCTTGACTCCAAGGTTTCCTAGGGTACACACCTGCAGAACCTTAGGCACAGGTACAAAGGTGCTCACTCCTCTTCCTCCTCAGCTTGGACAAGCGATTGCTGCTTCTGTAGACTAGATGTGTTTCCCGAGCAGCCAACATTCCCTCACTGCAAGGTATGAGTTAAAGAATGTAGATATCATCTCTCCACAAACGCAAGTCCCTGGATGTGGCTGCAGGAATGAACTGAGCAGCCCTGATGTTGTAGATAGGATCTTTTCCCACAGAACTAAGAAGCAAAATCCTTTCTTACTCTAAGGGATGAAGTCTGTACCTATACCCAGGACCCTGGTGATCAATGATGTAGTCCCTTCACAAGAGGTCCTCAGAGCTCAGGCAGAAGGACAGGGAGGTGACAGGTGGTGAGGAAGGACCTACATGATAATGAAGGCAGACCACCAGTAAGGCTAGGGCAGAGCAGGCCACATAGAGGCAAGTGAGGAGCCGGGTGGAAAGCGGGGTGGTTGGAAACAGAAGGATCCTATCACACAGGCCTGCGGCCTTCCTCCATGCGCCCTCAGCCTGCTTGCTGTTCAGATACACAGGCATGCCAGCCCCTGCTGCAGACTCAGGCAGTGTACGGAGCATGACCAAAGAGGTACCAGCTGTGCCTTACTCTAGTGGGGATGGCAGATTGTTCCAAATAGTCAGTGAAGCGGCAATGTAACTCAGGGTGTGTGCCGTGAAGGGTCAAGCCTAGAGAAGCTGCCTGTGAGCTGTGCTGAGGGGTTGAATTCAGTGCTGAGAATACAAGCCCACTTGTTCCTTTCCATGGTGCAAACCTCACCCACCACCAATCTTTGTATGAAGCAAAGTGAGCGTTAACATCTTTAAACAATCCAAAAGTTTGAGCGCCACAGAAACCATACAAAGCTGAGATTTGGCATCGGCGTGTAAGTTCTCTTGGGCACAGCCCACATGCTCGCCGCCTCTGCTGCCTTGTGCTTTGGAGGCGAGAGAGACCACATGACTTGCCAAGCCAAAAATAATTCCTATCTGCCCTTTTTATAGATAAGAATGCCAAGCTCTATTCTAGGTCCTTCTAGTACAGTGCTCTCTCTGCAAAGGTCTCCGTGTCCCCACCGTGTCCAGGAAGATGGGAAACACGCTTGGGAATAGAGAACAGAAAGATGTTTCTGTTGGATGTGTCCCCACTGTCCATAAAGATGGGAAACACACTTGGGAATAGAGACAGAAAGATGTTTCTGTTGGTCCCACTTCTCTTCACCTGGGGCTGATGTGAGGAGGGACCCTTGGTCACGCTCTTGCTACCTCTGGCCTGGTTGGGGGCAGTCTAGGGCAAGTATGGGTCTAGGGTGATGACTTAGTTAGAGAAGGCCTCCCCTGGCTGGTGATCCTGTCCCGAGAGCATAGGTCTGTATTTTGTAATAGTCTGGGGAATTCTGTACTTTCCACTCAAAGCAATGGCATCTAAACTCTGTTTATTATAGGCACAGCCTCCTGGCTATGGCATTCACTTGCCCTCAGACCTTAGACTTCTTGTTGGTTTGTGTTTCGATTTTTGTTTTTGAGAAAGGGTCTCACTGTGTTGCTTGACCTGGTCTCACATCTGAGAGCCCCTGCCTGAGCCTGAGGATGTCTGTGATTGTTGGCATGCACCACCATGACCAGCTCTTTTCTATTTTACTTTTTCCTACACAAAATTACATATAATCCTCTTATGCAGGAAATAGATAATCTGTCAGACATTGGATCCTAGGATGTTTGCAATGTTGTCTGAGGTTACAGTAACATTTGAGGTGAATCTTTTTTAACTTTCTTCTTACTTTTATATACTACATAATTAAAAAAAAACCATGAATCATCTTAATTAGCATAGAAAAGACCAGCCATTTTGTTTCAAACAATAAATAAGAATGAAGCATCTGCATGTGGGCACTAAGATTATTTATGTGGCTGTGATGTAACTGCTGGAGAAATGCGCCCCAGACGGCTCTCCAATAATTGCAGGAGGGGAGTGAGTACAAGAAAAATAAGACTGGTAGGAAATGAGGGATGCGGAAGTTATGTCATCGTAGTGGAGTATAGAATGTTCCCAGTGCATAAACCTGGCCTTGCTGCCAGTGTTAAGAAGGATGGAGCTGTGGATCCTTGCTGATTCTTTTCCCTCCTCCCTTTGTGCTGTCTTGGGAAACAGAAGCCTAGTAGGTTGGACTATTTAAAAGCAGTACCTTGTCGCCCCCTAGTGTCCTTATTCTGATATGTCACCTTTGGCCATCCAGGCAGTTTTCATGGTCTTTGTTTGAAGTCTCTGCTGTGAAGGCAAATGCATGCATGGTGGCCTGGTACCCACCCATCAGTGTAGGGGGCATTCTGCAGGGCAGTGAGAATGCCTCATAAATCCTCACATCTGCCCATTGAAGCCACCCAAAACATCTCTCCAACAGAGACAGGGAACCTCTTCCCAGGGAGGGCTGCAATCCTATCACAGCTTCAGCCAAAGCCAGCTATGTTTCTCGACAGGAATGTAGTCAGTGGCTTCAGAGGCAGCCTTAGGTTTGGGAGCATGCAGTTGGCTTCTGGAAGGTTCTATGCTGTTCCATGTGTGACTGCTCTAGTGTGCTCACCCCTCACTTAGCCCCTCTTCCCCACACCAGCTGCAGGTCTACTCCCCCTCTCTCTTGAGTACTTGCCATTTTGTTTGTTTTAGAACTTGCCATTCTCCTAGTCACAGCCTGTCCTAACATGCAGACAAAGCTGTGGCCCCCTCTGGACAGCCCCCACCTTGGGGAGGCAAAGGAGTTGCTGGGGGCAAAGGAGTCTTTCAGAACAACCTCACCTTGCAATCTGGGGGCTCAGAATTTTCCAGTGGTTTCCAAGGGCTTCTGGGAGAAAGGCCAGATTTTATTCTGGTCCTCTAGGCTTCTCAGTCCTGCTGTGCCTGTCTTTCCACTGGGTACTCTTCGTGCCTTGGCCCACCCTGTGCAGCTGCTCAGACCCTGGAATATTGCTCCTCTGTCCCTTCCCCAGCCCCCACCCATGTAGTCTTACTCCACCCTCAGTTGAAAAGTGCCATCGCCAAGGGAGTCAGCCTACAGCAGTGTCGAGCTTGCAAGACAATGACATTCTCCTTCCTGATGTCTGCCAGCCCTGTGTTCAATATCCACTAACATAGATGTTTCCTCCAAAATCTTCATTTCCCCTTGGCGACTCAGGCAAATTGGCCCCGAGGAGACATTTGTTTATGTCCAGAGACAGGTTTGGCTGTGACAGTAAAGAGAAGGGTGTCCCTCTTGACTGCATGGTCACTGGACTCCTTTGCGAGTAGAGAGTGCCCCAGTCACCACTCCACACACAGATCCAGAGCTGTCAGCACTGTAGTGAGTTGGCCCTATTGCATCTCCTAAAGCTTCCCAGCTATGTGGATGGAAACCGACTTTCGGAGGAAGCCATCCTTTCTGGTGCGCCTTCGCTTTAAAATTACTTTAAAGAATACATTGCATTTATACTTCATCTGCAATTTTAGTGAGTTCCATGGTCCTCCTATCAAATGTCCTGGCTTCCTCAAAGAGTCCATGCAGGGGAAATGTCAGGGGAGAAAGCTTCATCAATAAAGGGTAACATGAGGAGGGGACTCTGAGTGGTCCTTAAGACAAGGGACAGATTTGAATTTAGACGCTGAATGAGATAGTCCTGCTAACTTTGAAGGCAAGGGGACAGATTTGGATATAGACATTGAACGAGATAACCCCATTGTATTTCATGCACTTTCTTAGGCAGGATGACGGCTATAAGATTAGATGAGAGATGTTCTTATTCTTAAAAGATTCAGGGCAGAGTATTTAGGGCTGAAGTAACAGAGTATTTACTTAGCTAAAAGTGTGTGTTAGCGTATGTGTGTGTGTGTGTGAGTGTGTGTGTGTGAGTGTGTGTTAGGGGTGAGGGGGTAAGCATGGTAGTTCATGACTGCAATCCCAGGACTTAGGGGACTAAGGCATTAGAACCGTAACTTTAGGGCTAGCCTGGACTATGTAGCAAGACTATGTCTCAAAAAAAATATTAAAAAAAAAAAAAAAAAAAGAGCTGGGGTAGTGGCTCAGTTAGAAAGTTCTTGCCTTGCAGTCATGTGCACTGGAGTTTGATCCCCTGAAACCATATTTAAAAAAGAAAAATTCCCAGCTGTGAAACAAAACTCCAGTGTGTGAGGCCTTAGCACAGAGTAGGTGGCCCTGTCCATGGAAAGTTCCAGGCCAGTGAGAAACTGTCTCAAAAGTGGATGTCCCCTGAGACATGTAATGTTACCATCCCCTTCCTCCACACACACACACACACACACACACACACACACACACACACAGGGGGATGCATACTTGTGTGCACATGTGGAGTGCATGAATAAGTAAATGAAGAGAGGAGGGAGTAACTGATGTGGAAGAGAGCTAATGGGACTGGGGTGCCTGGGGGTGCGTACTTCCTATAGAAGTGTTTCCTGAGTCAGGGGGCACACGTTTGAGTGACAGGTCACACTGGTGACCTTAATCTTACCTGTGTCCTCAGTTTGCAGCTCCCCACCCATCCACATGAAGGTGCAGCCTCTGAACCAGACAGCACTGCAGGTGTCCTGGAGCCAACCAGAAGCCATCTATCACCCGCCCATCATGAATTACATGATCTCCTATAGCTGGACCAAGAATGAGGATGAGAAAGAGAAGACGTTTACTAAGGACAGTGACAAGGACTTGGTAAGGCCCCTCGGGGCGAGTCCAGGTGCATACTCCTCTCACTGTACATAGAGAGAGTATCTCCTCCTCTACAGAGATAGGATGTTGCAACTGAGAGTCCCTAGAAGCTGGCAGGCCAGTTACCCTGGCATTCAAAGCAGTGGACAAGACTGTGTCTGCAGCAAGATGGAAAGCAGTGACCACACCTGATACTGTCCTCTCCCCTCCACACATGCCAAGGCATATGGATGCTCATGCTCACACACGGACGCATCACAGACACACAATTTCCCCTTATAAAGTGGCTGCTTTTAGTTTGCCCCAAACGAGCCCCTTTCTTCCTGTCAGGTTGTTATGTAAGTGCCTGCCTGTCATGGCACTTAGTGAGCACTGTGTGAGTATTTCCTCTTATTACCCATCCCTGCTTCTGCACCCTCATCGTCTCTGTGCACAGCTATGCTTGCTGATGCCCACAGTCCCCACTACCCCGTTCCATGTGTGAATATACACTCTCATTGCATGCTGAACTCCAGGGTCCAGAGGACTTTTTACTCTGTACTGTTGTAGATGCTGTGACCAAAGCCAGCATCTCTTTAAAATGCACGTGGATATCTAGCATCAGGCATCCAACAAGGCCCTTTGGGCATCTGCATGTAGAAGCTATTCTCACTCGCTGTTGTAACCCCCCAACAAGTTCTAGTCTGTAAGACTTCACACAGAACTCACAGTGACACATTTGGGTTTGAAAGCCTTGCTGCTTTATTGTTAATCAAAGGAGGCCCCAGAATAACGAAGCCTGTAATTGTATATGCAATGAAAGATGCTTCAGCTCAGAGTGGGACTATTAATGACTTACCACTTTTTTTTTTTTTTTTTTTTCTCCCAATAGAAAGTCCTCCGGGCTCATTCAATCAGTCATAGAATAATACTTTTCATATTCCTTTAGATGAAGATTCTTTTACTTCATTTCCATTTATATTTTCAATTCCCTCACTAGACATTGTTATCTGGGTCACATGAGGGAGCAGAGAGCTTGGTGAAATCAGAGAAGGATGTATTGGAAGGCACCCAAGGTCACGGTGTGGTTTCACCTTTATCTTTCACACTGGAAGCCCCTCAGGGATTACTCCCTCACTGAAGTCAAGCTTACATTCATCAGCATAAACCATCTAGGCGCTCCTCCTGTTTCTTGTGGGAAGTAATTACATATGCAGGGAGGAAGAGGTCTAGTAAATTCCCACCTAGACGGAGTGAAGATTTTACTCTCATTAGAGGATGGAGCAGAGCGAGTTCAGGGGAGAAAGACAGCACATTCCATTTCACAGCAATTTCTAGATTGTTTCCCCATTTGAGACACAAAATGAAGTTTCTTATTTCCACCACACATGGGGAGTGCTGAGTCAGGGCAGTCTCTCCTCTAGCCTCTTGCCACACACCTTCATCCCGAACCCGTGCTGGTGTTCAATGCTTTTTCTAGGAGTCCGTAGTGAAGCTCCTGTTCCCATCTGGAAGTTGTTCCCAGTTGCAGCAACCAGTCACATGCTAATACCAATCTAGAGGATTACAGTGGCGGTGCCTGGGAAACCCCCTTGGTAGTTCAGTTCAGATGGGCCCAGAGTGCGCTTGTCTGCAAGGAGACCCAGCACCCGTTAGAAGGAACCCCTGGAAACCAGCCGCATTCCCTGCTTGTTTCTCTTTCATTTCCTCAGTGTTAAAGGCTGTGGGGATGCCATATTGAGGAATGGTGACCAGGATGTGGCTGATGATGTCTGATGACAGTTGACAAACACTTTTTTTTTCTAGTAAGGGCCAGGCAGTAAGTATTTTAGGCTTTCATGCCTTATAGACGGTCATTATGTCTTAACTTTGTCATTATTTGCGTGAAAGTGTACAGAATATACAAATGCAGTGAAACTTTATTTATAATGACATATGGCCTGTTGGATCTAGCAAAAAAGTAACCACAAAGAACACATACACACATGCACTCACACACACACACAAAACAATGTGACAATAAAGCTTTATTTATAATAAGAAATGGCCTGCTGGATCTAGAATGCAGGCTATAGCTTGTTGACTCTTGCTGCTGCTAGGTTCCATGTTCCTATGAGCTGAGATTGCCTGGCCTGTGCCACACACTCCTGTCAGGTGGCCTATGTCCACATAGTACAGAAGCTGGGAGATATTTCGCACATGTTTCAGGGTCACAGCTAGAGAGTAGTGTTGCAGAGTTACATCTTATAACTGTTGATTTGTTCCTTGTACGGGATGCCTTAAGACAACAAGGAGAAAACCATCAAGGCAGAGAATTTCTTACTGAGTTTTGAAAGTCGACATGGCTCAGGAGTTCTCCTATTTAGTAATTGTAGAGGCTGCTGTGGATAGTAATTACAGTTTCTGAGGTATAGTGATTATGGCAGAAGTCCAGGCATCGAGAGCAGGAAGGCTGGAGACATGTCCCAAGCTGTGGACCAGTCTCTGGTATTTCTTCAGTGATGAAAACAGATTCCCTCACAAGGATATTTCTAAGCAGCCTTTTTCTCTAGAGAAAGGCTGTAGTCGGGACTCTGGGATGCCCAGATTTGTTCATGGGTGCACCACATCTATGAGCTTTCAAAACTAACTCAGTGCCCTCTCTTTCTGCCCCTACAGAAGGCTACCATTAGCCATGTGTCACCTGATAGCCTTTACCTGTTTCGAGTACAGGCCGTGTGTCGGAACGACATGCGCAGCGACTTTAGTCAGACAATGCTCTTTCAAGGTAAGTCTCGCCATGCCACCTGATGTGCCTGAAGCTGCTTGTCTCTTCGGGGGCTTGTCCAGAAGTAAGGAAACTTGGTCCATGTGGGGTATATGCCAAACTCAGGGATCGCCAGCCTTTTAGATCTGTCTCATCTTGGGTTGGAGGTTTCAGAGGCCCAGAGAAGAGAGGGAAAGCAGGGTTCAGTTTGCATTGTTTCCTTCCTGTTTCCTTGATGTTTCCAGCTACGTCAGATGGTGTGGTGTCCCCAAGTCCCCCATAGCCTCTAACTTAGATGACCAGCATGACTGACCGTCACTGCCTTTTGAGAACTAGAGCCCAAGATATAAAATGTGTCCTTCCAATTTGCAAGCCACACAGACAAGTCTCTGTGTGTTGTATCTTCCTGGTTCCCAGTCTGGTGATCTGTGTTCTGTGCTGACTGGGGACCTGTAGGAGGGTTGGGGCCAATTTGAGGGTAAAGCAAATGGAACTTTGCCTTCTTGCATTTTAATGGAGTTTTTTTTAAGTTAGTACAAAGATTTAATGAATGAAATATTGAAAGTTTATTTTATCAATTTATTTTATGGGTATAAGAATTTTACCTTCATGTGTGTATATTGCATCACATACATGTAGTTCCCATGGGTAGGACCAGGGGAGGGCAGGAGATATCTGGAATTGCAGTCACGGACAGTTGTGAGCTGCCATGTAAGTGCCAGGAAGCAAACCCAGCTACTCTTCAAGAACAGCAAGTGCTCCTATCGGCTGGGCCATCTCAAGCTCCAGAAATATTAGAACTTCAGATAGATGGGTCGTAGGTCAGTAGTGAAGCATATACTTAGCATGCACAGGCTTTGGTTTACTCTCTAGCACAAAAGTATAATAATAACAAAAGATTATAGAAGTAATGGTAGGACATAGTCTGTCTTTCCTGGCCCTCATATCATTTACTAGAATCAGTCAAATGTGGGCCTTAGTTTGTGAATGCAGTTTCATAACAGACACAAAATCTGTCATGAAACTAAAGGTCAGGGCCTTGGGCTCCACACGGAGACTCCGGCTTCTCAAGCTGCTTGCCCCCTCGGGGCCCTGGCTCTCCTATCTATGAAATGGAAAGTGCGTATCACGCCACTGTCAGTTCATGTACCTCGCTGTGTCTTTCTGTAACAGAATTCCTCTAGGCATATGCGACCATACTCAGCTGATTCTTAGCCTTTGAGTTGTGGATCTGATTAAACATCTGGATTTTCCCCTTGAAAATGCCACAGATGTGAATAAAATTACAGACCCTGTAAGCCACATGGCAGATTGCACCATCAGCATCTGAAGCCTCCGAGTTATGCACCTTCACAAACCCCTCAAAGCAGCTGCCTCTGAATCCTGGCAGTGGGGTCTGGCTACGTGAGCGCTAGCAAGCCAGCGCTAGTGACTGGCAGGCACATTAAGTGCTGAAGAATGCCAGGTTCGAGCTGGGCTCTGCCGGGAGGATGCTGGGTGCAAGTCCCAGCCACCTATCACCAGCTGTGCCATGCTGAGAACATGTGTTGTCTCTCTTCTCAAGGCCACTGTTTGCCACTCCAAAAGTGGGTAGTGTGTACAGGCTGTCCATGGGGGCCATTGTACACTAACACCAGACAACGTATATCAAATGATTACCATAGCATAAGTCACAGGACTATAAACCAGCAACTCCTTATGCATTGCTGTGAAGTGTATGCCTAGATTTTACCAGTTGAAGATCCCCAATCCAGACAGTGTGACATCCTAATACTTCAGGATCCAAAAATCATTTGATCATCATGTCTGTGTTCGTACAGTTTCAGCCTTCATTAGGTTTGATAGAAAATAGTAGTAAATGATGAACCCAGGGAAGAAGTTGTCCAGCAGAGATTTCTTCCAAGGACCTGGAATTTAATGTGGCATTTAAGCATTCTTAGCTAATGATTCCTCCTTCTTTTAAAAATTAACTGAAATATACTATAGTTTCATTTTTCTCATAAATAAATCTGAGTCCATACATATACAAAATACATTATTCTGTGTTGAGCAAGCACCTTGGGCTGTGGCAGGGTCTGTGTGAGGTAAGGGGAGGGAGAAGGTAGGCCAGTCTGGGAACTTGCTGTGGCCAGGCCTGGGGACTTTAGACCCATAAATCATGATTAGGCCTCCGTTGCCTGGACCAGGTGCCTGGGAACCACAGAGCTGCCTCCTTTGACTCATAGTCTCAGGCTGCTTGGCCTCTGAAAAATGTAAGGTTTATAATGTAATGCAATTCTAAAAAGTCCCCGTCAGGTATAAATTCAAATCAGGGAGCAATTTTAATGTCTGATCACAGTGGCAAATGGCTGTTGTCCACATGTGTCCTCCATCTCTGCTCAGAGATGAACAGCTGACCCTTTAGTGTGTGGCATTTTACCCCCCCCCCCCATGTATTGATAAAGGAACAGATCCCTTGTTCGCACCTCCCCATGACACCCATGAGAGACCTGTGCCAACCAGCACCTTCATCAAGGTCAGCCACTGCCCTTTTCTACCCAGCCTGAGAGCAAGGTGCACAATTCACCTCCTATTCAGAGTCAAGGTTTTAGACAGAAAACAAGGTCTTTGAAAATTCCAAGGAAGTTTTCCCCGTGGTCACTGTTTTTAGAAAGAAATTTACAACAGATTTAGAAGCAAGGAAACCCACATGGGGTATTATATGTGGTGATTATAGCAGTATTTATGATCCAGATGATATTCCAAGACATCGGGCTGGTGACATAGCTCTGCTGACAAAGACTACCGCTTCCAGGCCTGCAGGTCTGAGCATGGTCTGCAGGATCACACAGTTGCAGACAACTGACTCCAGAAGGTTGAACTCTGACCTCAAACCATGTGTCTGTGGCATGCACATGCTGTGGCATGCACAGATACACACAGGCACACACAATAAGTAAATAAATTAATGGGGTGGAATAAAAACTAAGAAAGCAATAGCCACGCTTAGCCACTGTGATACTTGCATTAGCGGCAAGTGACATTACAGAGTGCCACCACTTCAGCTGCTTCACCCCAACATCATGTGACAGTTTATCACGTAGGCTTCTCTTTGGGGTTTTGTTTGTTTAGGAGCATGCGCTATAGTTTTTGGGTTGGTTTTGTCTTACAAATGGAGAAATTATGTTCAGAATGCAAGTAAGTTGTGATAAGTCTCTTAGCTACTGCATGGAGCTCTGTGGTCTTATCTAAGCTCCATGGCTCATGCGTGGACAGTACATGCCACTCACCACACCAGGTCCTCAACCAAGAAGAGAACAGGTATGATGGGCCCCATTCCAGCCACCCCAAAGTGCTCAGCAATCAGTCACAGACAGGGCTTCTGGAACCTTCCTTCTGAGCGTGAAACTCGTTTAGTCACATCCTTCCTCACAGTGGTCTTACGAACTAAACGTTATCAGAAAGGAATCAGTTAGATCCACATGCACTTGTCACAATACTTTAAACAAATCTGAGCTGTGGTGATGTGTGTGTGCATTTAATGAAATCACTGAGTCCATCCCATAGTACAAAGGTGTCAGATCTCAGAGACAAACGCAGGCTTCCAGAGGATGCAGCCAAGGCTTGCCCTTCCACTTCCTGGAGGAAACGTGTCATTACAGGAAATGCAGGGAAAGTGCAAATGACATAGCTCCTCCTTGCAGCCTAGGACATTTCCTAGGCTCCCCCCCATCCCCTTGAGCCTAGGAAAGCACTCATGATCCAAAAGGCCCCGTGTAATGGAGTCAGCAGCACTGAGGCTACCCGGGTAGCTGTTGCAATGGCTACTTTTAAAGGCTCCTGGGAGCCTTTTATCTTGTGTTAAGGAAGCAAGATGTGACACCTGTCTGAGTACTTATTATGAGGTGTATTTTGCCCAGCTTATATTTTGTTGCCTTAACTGCCTTTATTTGACCTGTAATCTAAAGTTACATTGACTTCACATTTCTCTCCTTGCAAAGTGTACTAAAACAAAGTAGGTGAATCATTAGGTCAGGGGTTGTGAACTCAGATGTCCATGGGTCCTATACGTATGTATGATAAAGTGAGAAACACGATACCGTGTGCCAAGAAAAGGAGTGGCAGACTCTAAAGTTAATAATACATTCATTGTTTGTTGGTCTTATTATTTATTTGTTCATTTTTTTATCTTATAGGGCAAACAAAAACATGTAGGTCCCTTGCTATTTCTAGATTAGGTAAAAAGCATAGCAGATATGTTCCTCAGTTTTCTTAATTGGTATTTTTGATTATGTTTTGATGTTGTGTGTATAGGGGGTAGGTCTTTAGTTATAGAACGCTCTTGTTAAATAACCACAAAAGGTTATAATATTTCTATTATAAGTTATGATGTCTAGCATTATTCAGGAGCCAAATGTACTTCAGCAGATGAACAGCTAAACAGTTCATTGGTAGAGATACACAAGAGAATGTTATTGAACATTTAAAAAGAAAAGGAAATTCTGGCCCATGCCTGGATTGCCGGGGTGACCTTTAAGGACATTATGCTAAGTGAAATATATCACTCACGAAAATACAAATGGGCATGATTATATTCATATGCAGTATCTAGAACAGTCACATGCAGAAATAGAAAATACCACCATGTTGTGGTTCCCAGGAATCAGGTCAAAGGAAATGAGTTGGTGGGTGTGTCCTTGGGTTTCATTTTGCATGATGGACCCAGCTGAAGCACCTCCAGCCTTGAGGAAGGGCTCAGCTTCAGCCACTGGTCAAAACTGAGCTTTACCAGAGCAGACACTAAAAATGGCTGGCATGGAAAATTTTATATCCTTTGCCTCTTAGTACAACTTGATATATACCGGTTATATTGCTTAAGAATACTCCATGGGAACTCCAAGAAGAGCACGAGATAGGTATGCAGTGAAGATAAAATGATAGGCCTTGTAAAACAGAGCCCAGAGACTATTGGATTCGAGCAGGAAGAGAGGACTCGACAGTACACAGTGACAGGAAGGCAATAGGGTTATTGCAAGAATCAGTAAAAGAATAATCTAAGATAAACTGTAGGGCTGGCAAGATGGCTCAGTTTATGAAGCGACTTGCAGTCAGGCCCGATGAGATGAGCCCAGTCCCACATGTAGAACGAGAGAACTAACTCCACAGAGTCCAATTGTCCTCTGTTCTCCACAATTCTCGTCTCCGTTCCCTCCCTCCCTCTCTTCTCCCCCTCTCTTTTTCTCCCCCCCTCGCACTTCCCACCTTCTAATAAAGAATACATCCATAAATGTAATAGTTTAGAAAACAGTAAACTGTCATAAGGTAAAGATTCCTATTAGAATCACTGAAAGGATGAGAAAAATGGTAACCAAAAAACTGTTTGAAGCTCAGAAGCCCAGCAGTACCTGAAAATGCATCTCAGTGTGGGTGGCGGTTACATGGGTAGTAGACCTAACAATAATTCATCTGTCTATTGGCATCTTGCTATTGTTGAAGTTCTGTCTCAGTAAAACAAAACTATAATAATTACACATTTTAAATGAATTGCTTGCGTCAGGAACAGCATGGCAACATGTCTGCATGACTCAGAAGAGCGTCATAGGTTGAACTGGTTGGAAAGCATACAAACGAATACTATTTTGTGACATTTAAAAAAAAAGTATGTGTAGTTGAGAGATTTGTGTGTTCATAAGTAGGATTTTATTGCAATCGCATATGAATGTTGCATGTTGTTTACATTATAACTTCTTCTTTTCTCAGCTAATACCACCCGAATATTCCAAGGGACCAGGATTGTGAAAACAGGAGTGGTAAGTGGAGAATGCCGGGTGCTGTCACTGATGTTTTACTCGGTTGCAGTTAAAGCTCTTGCCACAAGGTGTCAGTATAATGTTGTTGAACTGCCTGCATAGAGCAGTTCCGAGACAACACATTTCGCTGTATAAGTTAGTGTGCTGTGCAGCAACATTAGTGGCTTCTGTTGTATAATTTTGTCAGTGTAAAACTCTTCTAGATCTGTAGTTATGTATGATTCCATGGAATCGGATGACACAGGTGTTACTCCATCGAGAGCCCTTCACTCATACTATGCTAAAATCTAGAAATTGTCACCCACGACTACTAATAAGAAATGACTAGTGCTGAGGGATAATATCAGTCTGAAACCCGGTAAGCATATTTCAGCTTCCAGACACAGGTTATTTTATTTGCATCTCCAAACAGCCCAGAATGGTAGTGCTGCTACTCCCATTTGACAGGTGAGGAAACTGAGGCACGGTGAGTTAAAGTACTGGGCCCATCATCACTCAGAGTGAGGCAAGGAGTCATCTCAAAGCTGCGATGAAGAAGGGCCCAAGCCACTCTGTAAGTGGAATGCCTGGTGCTGTTCTGGATGTTGCAGTCTACAGAGGCATAGATTGCACTGTGGAGAAATGTAGATACTCTGAAAGGCCCTGTGGCTGGGCTACACTCAACTTGAAGCTGTAGAGCCATGTAAAGCTTTTGTCCAGAGTGTGGTGCCAGCTTCTGACATGACCACTGCTGATCCGGACCAGCCGACTTCCCTCTTCTGACTGACTGCCTCGCTGTATGATGGTGGAGTTAACTCCATCTGGTGGTTTTCTGCATCTCAAAGCTAGGTAGTCACTGGCAGAAACTGACTTGTAGCATTGACTTCCACTTCTCACATGATTCCCCCACCACACACACACACACACATACACATACAAATGGTGGGCACCTGGCTGTTTTATGACTTTGTTGCTTGTTTTAAAGGCACTTTTAATGCTTCTATTTCCGCATCTAGCCAAATTCTGAGTTATAGCAGTGAAAAACAGAGTTTGATACACTATACACTAGTTAATGTTTTCATTCAAAGTAATAGCAATTATAAAGGCACTAAAATGAGATGTAGATTCCCTGGACCTGCACTACTCAACTTTTATGCCATAGCTTAAGAAACCCCATAGGGTAGATGGCTAAAATTCTGAGGTTTTGCAGAGGGGCCTTGGTTTGATTCTTGATGACTGATTCTGTGGTTTTTTTTTTGTTTGTTTGTTTGTTTGTTTTTGTTTTTGTTTTGTTTTTCCTTCACCTCCCTTCTCTACGACCTGGGTGGCCTTTTCAGCCGACGGCCTCTCCTGCCTCTTCAGCAGACATGGCCCCCATCAGCTCTGGCTCTTCTACTTGGACATCCTCCGGCATCCCCTTCTCTTTCGTCTCCATGGCAACTGGGATGGGTCCTTCCTCCAGTGGCAGCCAGGCGACAGTGGCCTCTGTGGTCACCAGCACGCTCCTAGCAGGCCTGGGCTTCGGTGGCGGTGGCATCTCCTCCTTCCCCAGTACCGTGTGGCCCACACGCCTTCCTACTGCAGCCGCAGCCAGCAAGCAGGCAGGAAGGCCAGTCCTCGCCACTACTGAGGCTTTAGCGTCTCCCGGGCCTGATGGCGACTCAGCTCCTACAAAGGACAGCGAGGGTGCAGAGGAAGGGGAGAAGGAGGAGAAACGGGAGAGTGAGGATGGAGAGCGAGAGCATGAGGAGGAGGGAGAGAAGGACTCTGAGAAGAAGGAGAAGAGTGAGTCTGCCCATACAGCAGAAGAGAGGAACCAGACTGCTCCAGCCCCCACACCGTCTTCCCCTCGTAGGACTGCAGAGGAGGGAGGGCATCAGACTATACCTGGGCGCAAGCAGCACCACGATGCCCCTGCAACAGACCAGCCAGGACCTGTTGCCCCGGGCTTGGACCCCAATGAGGACACAGCCACCCAAGTGCCCCCAACAGCCACAGAGGAACATTTTTCAGGGAGTGATCATAGGAGGCCCGAAATGCCATCTAAAAAGCCTATGTCCCGAGGGGACCGGTTTTCCGAGGATAGCAAATTCATCACTGTTAATCCAGGTAAGTGGTGCTGGTCCGTATTTGAAGGTCCAGGCTGTTGTGAGCAGGCTCAACCTACTTCCAAGTTGGGGGACACTGGGGAAGTAGGTAATAATATCCTTGGGATTGTGTGTATCCCTGGCGTGTCTATGCGTACAACCACATCTTCTCATCTCATCCTGGTAAGATACAGTCTCTTGGCTGCAGCAAGTCTTCCTCCGTGCTCCTGTCTTTGCTTCGGAAGATTCCGAGGCCTCAGATGGAGATCCAGGTGAAGGAAGCAGGCACTGCTTCTAAGATGTTTGCCTGTTCCTGGGTGGTGGAAGTTGGGGTATCCGAAGAAAGGCAAATGGCTTGCCTTGGAAGTGTGACATGTGAGCCCTCAAATCCGTGTTTCTAAAGAAGTAAAGCATGGCTACATGCACTTGTGTCCCCTGCACTGAAGGCACAGAGTCAGGCAGACCCCTGGGGCTCAGTGGCCAGGTATCCTCCCCACCTTATTCTGTGAGTTCGGGGTCTGTGAGAAGCCCTGTCTCAAAAAGCCAAGATGAGTGGCTCCCAAGGAACAGTGTCCAAGGTTGTCCTCAGATCTCCACATTCATGTGCACTTGACAATACAGGTGTGCACATGTGTGGGCACACACATGCCCATATGTGAGCACACACACACAGGCACATGCACACATACATGCAGTCTTTTATTCCTTGATCATTTATTAAATGCAAACACAATCTATTTCTGGGTAGTCATTGTTGTGCCAGGCACTAGGCTGGATGCTCTGCCAGGGAAACCCCTTGCCTGCATCATGGAATAGAGGGTATGGCAGAGAGATGACCAACAGCAGCTGGCTAGAGCACATCCCAAGGAGTTAGTAATGAGGACCTGGGAGAGCAAGCTGCTGAGATGGTTGTTCTTGGCAAGCCAGGAAAGTTCCCAGCTAGGATGATGTTCGAGCCAGGAAAGTTCCCAGCTAGGATGGTGTTCGATTGCGAAAGAATAGTAGAAGAAATAGGATGTTGTGACTGACGATTATGGGGAGGATAGAGTGCCACCTTAAGTGCAAAAGGGTGACATGTCCAGTCTGGGGAGTCCTGGTCTTAGTAGTCCATGGTCCTAGCCCAGGTAGTGTGGCTGGCTGTCCTGAAGCTGTCACTGGCTACATGAACTACCCATTCGTAACTGGGAAGCCGCCATGGCTGGTTGGGCCTCCACTGGCTGCGACACCAGAGGCAATGTTTTTCCACAGTCACATGTTCAGATCTTAATGAGCCGTCAGGATGCTTGTGCTGGAGCTGTGGCATGAGGGGCTGCTACTGTTGTGAGGGCTTTTCTTAATAAGAAACCCTTCGTGTTGCCAGACTGCAAGACGTTTAGCAACAATGTTTTTTTCATTTAAGCTGTTGTGGAGTTATGAGTGCAAAAAAAAAAGGCAACTGGTAAATATTTATTTGCTTTTGCACTTGTAAACATTAAAATTCATCTAAAGCTGAGATCTCGTATGTTAAGATACAACTTAGAATACATTTTCATGTTTTGAATTACTTTCCCTTAAAGCTGCTATGAACTAATTTTTTTTTTCTAAAAAGGGGTCTCCCATGGGTGTCATTCAGTGTGGGGCAGTCTGACAGAAAGGCACAGTAGCCTTGTATAGATGCAGAAAGTGTGGGGCCATTGGTGGACTGTTCTTGTGTGAGCCGGGCATTCTTTCTCAGAGACCGCTGTGTAAACATTGAATTTCTTTTATGTAAATATAGTAAAGAATACAGCGTCTCTTCCCAGTGTGTGCCAGGCTCTAGACTAGGCATTAGGGAATGACTGTTGATGGAGACTTCTGTTCTCCCAGGGGTACATACTTGTGGGAGAGGTTTAGGATAATCCAGCAAATGAAGACATTTAAAGGGAGAACAGTGTGTGACCTCTGGGTCAGCCACTCACAGATACATGGGATAAGATTCTGGGCTGCTGGAGTGGTAGGTCTAGCTCCCTCTCTGTGGAGCAGGGCCATAGAAAGGGATTATTGAGTTCAGACAAGAGGACAGCTAGGAAAATAAGGGAGCATTGGCCACCCTGAGGGTTAGATTTTAATTGAAATGGCAAATCAAGGGATAGATACCAGCACGAGAAGTTATTTGTGTCATTGACTCTTTCTCAAAAGCGCTTACTTGTGCATAGAGACGGAGGTGGTGGCCGTGTGGCTTGGGCCAGTGTATTTCCTCTTTAAGACAGGGGATGGAGATGGACTGAGTAGACTCTTTTGCATGCTTCTGAAACCAGAGCCTGCTATGTGCTTGAAGTGGGAGTGTTCATGGGAGTGTGCGCAGCTTGGGAAGCTGCAAGGCTGGTCTCTTAAGACATTCTGGTAGAGGAAAGAGAGGTGGACCTCAGATGCCAGGAAAAGGGAGAAGAGAGTGAACCATTGCTTCCCATCCCAATGTCAGAAACCATTTGGTTTGGTGGGAGTGGCTTTTGGAGTCATCTCAACTCAGTAGGTCTGCCCCCTCATTCACTTGACCCTCAGGTAAGCTTGTGCCCAGTGATCTTGTCTGCAAAGTGCAGGTAACAAGAGGGCCTCAGTCAGTGCAGAGACAGTGCTGATAAAGCTGTCCTTTTTTTTGGGATGGGGGTCCAAACATGGCTTTTCTGTGTAGTTGTGGCTGTCCAAGAACTCACTCCATAGACCAGGCTGGCCTCAAACATAGATCTACCTGCCTCAGCCTCTCCCAAGTGCTGGGATTAAAGATGTGCATCACCACTGCCCAGCTAAAATTATTGGAACACTGCAAAGAAGTTTAGCATTGTTACTGTGCAAGGATGACGTGCAAATTTGTGAAAGTCACCAGTCTATTAGTGCTAAGGAAGGCCACCAGCAGCCAAATGCCACATAACAGTGGAACTTTTTGGAGGCATCAGTGGGTCTATTTGGCAATCTGAATGAACGGTAAAGAGCAGTTCCCCAACTACCTGAAGTTAAAATGACCTACAGGAGTTCCATAATTAGCTAAGGTGACAGAGTGCTTGTTAATCATGCAAAAAGTCACAGTTCCGATAGCCAGCACCTCCTACACCGGGCATGGTAGCACATACCTATAACGCTAACACTTGGAGGGTGAGACAAGAAGATCAGAAGTTCAAGGTCATGCTAGGTTCCTTGAAGTTCAGGGCCAGCCTGGGGTACCTGAGCCTGGCCAGGAACACTCTGTCCTGTGATCTCTGCAGTCAGAACAGCAAGGTGCACTTGCTCATAAAGCCACAGAGAAAGTTCAGAATTTCTGGGGATTTGAATTTGAAAGTGGTTCTGGGTTGAAATCTTGAGTTGCAAACCTTTAGGAGAGAACATAGTAGTAAATAGTTTGTTTTATTTTTTACAGAAATCAGTTCTCAGTCTTAGAGCACACTCAGCCATGGACAGGATAGCAGTGAATGGCTGTAATGATTCATAGAAATAGGCAGAGGGCCTGATTTGGCCACACCCTGGTATTTTCCAGCCTCTGGAAAATGCAAAAATATATGTATGTGTCCCTTGTTTATTAAAGGATTGGAGTAACTAGAGGGGGAACAACAGAGCGTCATCAGTGTGTAGTCCCAAGATCTCGTCCCTTCTCCACCCATCCTACCATGCCCGCCATCAGCTCAGTTTGGGGTGGGTTTTGGTTTAACTGAAATAACTGTCATTTTTATGTTAGTGGTGATTGATCTTAGAGACTGTGGGTATACATTTGTTTATTCAACAATTAAATTTCTTCCCATGAAGTCATAAAGTCATTGAATTCATCCTCAGTGTCTTTGAAAAAGTAACAATGCCTAAAGTTAGCAAAGTGTGTTACACTTCAGCCCATGCCCACAAAGGCTTGTTTACATTCCTTCCACAATGGTGACATGGCTGTATCGCTGTTTAATAAGGATCAGGATAAACAATTAGGCCGAACAGATATTTATTCAGGGAGAAATAACTCACAACATAGACACGTGAACGCCAACAGGTTCCTGCTTCCAAGAATTCCTCCGGAAGTCCTCCTGTCCCCGTGCGGCTTGCAAGAGAGCGCTCTCCCGTGCCTCCTCCGACTTCATTCCCCAGGTCACTTCCGCCCCTGGCTTCACCCCCCAGTGGGTGTGGTCAGTGCCACAGAAGGAGACAAAGTGAATATCCCACTACATGGCTGCATGGCTGAAATCCTTTGTGCCAGTCGTGGCAAACTCAAACACGTAGAAGTCAGACCAGGCATTTCAGTGGAGGGGAGGGCAGTAGCGAGCTCTAGAGCACCTGCCTTTTCTCAGTATGGCCATGTCCACTCCCACCATTGTCACGGGAAACTCCTTGTGAGTCAGAAATCCTAGTTTTTGTGCAGAGTACTCCACTTTTCAAATCTTAAAAACAGCTTGCTTTGACATATTTAAACTAACTGTGTCCCCAGCTTAGCATTTACCCACCACACTGGAGTGGTGATTGATGTCACTGCTCACTGTACTGGCAGTGGTCTTGTGATCTGAAGGTTTAGAGCGTGCGTGCGTGTGTGTGTGTGTGTGTGTGTGTGTGTGTGTGTGTGTGTGTGTGTGTCTGTCTGTCCTTCACCAAAACTTTTCCTAGCATTGTCTTGTGCCAGTGCTGTGTGGACATCTAGCCTGTAAGTCCTCAATAGGAGCCACAGCCTGCAATGTGGTGGCAGATTTGGAGCCAGCTGATGCAGTTCCTGGGTGGTGTGTGAGAACAGCATGCCCCAACATAAATGTTTGAGGGCACATGTCACCTGTGAGCTCCCCATTTAGGACAGGCTTGTCTATGTCTGCCTCCTTAGGTGAGGGGAAATGATGGCTTCCAGATCACATCTGCTTATAGCCTACTTCCTGCCTCTTCAGGTCTGTACCAAGCTGGGTGCCAAAGATGATGGTCTGGGTCAGGGATGGCAAATGCAAACTTAAAGACATATCACAGGTAGTCCATTGGGTGTCACATGAGCCATGAGCTGTGAATGCTGAGGAGCTTCCAGGTTGCTGCTCTGAGCTGAGCCTCAGTGGAAGATGCTAAGACCCAGGGGCCCACTCCTTTGAGGAAGTGTAGAAAACTCAAGCTCAGAGACCCGATGTTAAAAAACTAGTTATTGAAGGAACACCCCGAGTTGGCATTTGCTCCCTGTGCTGAGGCCACTTTTCTGTCCCTTATCCTAAGGAACTCTCTTGAGGGCCATGCTATCATGTTTACCACCATACCCTCGAGGGAAACAAGGTTTAAGAGGGTAAAGGAGCTTGTCCAGGTCACAGCATGTGGGAAAAGGAGCCCAACAGCTTTGTCAGTCCCGGGGCCAGGAGTGGTTGCATGATGCGTCAGGGCCTCCCGCGGGCCCTGGCGCTAGTTCCCAGACTGAGCAGTGTGAGGAGGCTGCAGGTGGAATGGGACATGAACATCATAAAGTACATTCTTCAGAAGATGCCCGTTTCCCATTAGCGCAGAAGTCCTCGCTCAGGTGTTCTGTCCCTTCCTGCAGGGCCATGGAAACTGTTTTGGTAGTCACCACAGGGAATGCTTATGGTATCTCTCAGGAAAGGGCCAGGGAATAGCGCATACACAGCCCCATGTCAAGGGAATATCCGGCCCAAATTGTCAACACCGACAGACCTGACTTGTGGCATTCATATCAAGTATAATTTGAAAGAAGATTTCTGGGGGGGGGGGTGAGTCACCTTTTTAAAGGCAGAAAGCCAGAAATACTGCTCAGCCACTAAAGGTGCCCAGAACACGTGGTAGGAGAAGAAAACCAACTCCTACAAGTTGTCCTCTGCCCTTCATGTTTTACCTACACTCTGTGCAAACACATGTACATACACATGTACACACACACACACACACACACACACACACAAAATAAATGTAATATTTTCAAAAACATTAGTAACAGAGCAAGTTCTCCAGGATAAAGAAGAAGTCAGGAGGGCATTACCGAGCTCTTCCTAGGTTAGGACCTACAGTACACTTCACTGAAAATGCATAGCAGAAGATACTCAAGAAATGCCACAAGTAATTTCCAACCAAGGCTTGGTACACTTGTCTGCTTCCCTTCATGAGTTATATCTCATGTGTGTCTTTGCCGTTTTCCCAAGTGTAGTGCTAAGTACCAGCTCTGGGTAGCCTAAAGCAGTGTACAAGATGCCAAACAAGGTTTAGTTTTTTCTCAAAACATTACTGGCTCCTCAAAAGTTTATCCTTCCTTTCTCCATGTAATTGTTGAACAGGGAAAATTTGTGTAACTCTTAACATGAAAAACCAAACCCTAAGAAGGAAGTTGGAATCAGGAATTAGGGTAGGAGTAGGGGCAGAATGTTTGATATCAGGTTGTAGATGGAGTCTGTCTCCAGCCAGCTTCAGGACCATGTGGGGTTCTGGTGTCCTTCCTTCAGTTGAAGTGCATTCCAGTTGCTTCCATGTCTTGGCTACTGTGTGAACAATGTGCTTATAATCCACATGATAGGTCAAGTGTCCCTTGGAATTAGATTGGGAACAATTAAACAGCCTTAACATTCCAAGCTCTACCAGAGGTCACAGTTCATCTTTTGGTTGTCAAAGTGTGGTAAAGCAGGCATTTGTGGAGTGGGGTGCTAGCTTTGCTCATGAGAACTCCAGGCATGGGTACAAGTGGAGACAAATGGTACTCTAGTATGGTCCACACATGTCAATGGGAAGGCAGAGCCAGGCCCTGTTAAGGCAGTGTGTGTGTGTGTGTGTGTGTGTGTGTGTGTGTGTGTAAAACTGATGAGCAGCTGTTTCTTTGAAACAGTAATGAATGTAACCTCAGGGCTCCAGGAAGACAAAGAAAAATCTGGCCCCATAAAAGACGTTACTATATCACAGTATTTTGAAGCTAACAGTGATAACAACAACAGTAAAAATGTGGATAAATGGAGACCATTTAAACTCTTAAATGGAAGATAGATAGATAGTAGAGGCTATTGTTTAAAAAATTGGAGATAAAATGACCTTAAGACTCAGTCATCCCAGAGTTCCCAGCGGCTGCTTGAGGAGGCATCTGCACATATGGGTTTTAGCCCCATTGTTCACACAATAGCTGACACATGGAAGCAACTGGAATGCTCATCAATGAATGAAGGAAGGAACAGAATGCAGCATTTCTGAGCAGTGGAATGGAAATGAGGGGGGTGTGCAAAAGAAAACTCTGCCACACACATACCCTGGATAAGCTTTTGAGTACAGTATGCTAAGTGAAACAAGCCAGTCACTACTATAGCTCCTGTGTGATTCCCATGTAAGACCCTAGACCTGCCAACTCCTCTGTGGAACAGGCTGGGAGAGCAGGATAGGAGGCTGTGACTTCACAAGTAGAGCTTATATTTTGTAAGATGAAAATGTTGGGGAGACGAGCGTATCAGCAGTGTTTACACCTAGCCCTGCTTAGAAATGCTTAAAATGGTCAATTTTACATTATGTGAGCATGCACGCGCGCGTGCGCACACACACACACACACACACACACACACCACCTTTATTCACAGTGGGTGTTCTTTTAATGAGGATGTCACTCGGAACAACTATAGTGAAGTCACCCATGATGAGAGCAGGCTGTATATTAATGAGTGTGCAAGCCCTCCTTCCGTGTCCTTTTCTCTGTCTGGGCGGTACCCTCATCACGGATCCAGTCCTAGTCGAAAGAACACGGGAGTTGTTGACCGGTGGCTGGAGCTGAGCCCTTCCTCCAGGCAGGAGGCACTTCAGCTGGGTCCATCTGATGTCTGCTTGTAGCATTTATAGTACATTGTGCTCGTTTTTATTTGCTTCTACTGGGATGAGAGCCAAGCCAGTAAAAGGCAAACAGCATTAATTCAGTGATGACATATGCCA